TCTGCATGGCAGGTCTATCAATTCCCCAGTCACATTTGACAATTAGGTAAGGGCGGCGCGTTAGTGCCCTGGATCTCACCGCAACTCATGATTCATCACCGGAAACGGCTTCCAGTGGGCCTGGCTTTCAGCTCGGTTGTGGCTCGAGTTTTTCTTTCCCCCTCTCTTCCCCTTTTTTTGTTTTTTGTTTTTTTTTTTGGTCCGCTACGGAGTATACAAACCATACAACCAAATCAGCCTTTTTACTTGAACTCAATCCATTCGCCAGAGGTAGGTCACCTTGTTTGACGACCAGCAAGGCCATCAGGCTGGTCTCTGACAGACAGGCAGGATAGTAGTCATGACTGAAGACAGTTGGCAAAGGGCACGGGACTAGTACTACACATTGGCACAAGTTCCTGTAGGTTCGGATTGGGGTTTTTAGCACCCGGAGATGGCCGGATCTAGCGGGGAACCCGAATCCACTTTGTACTAGTCAACTCAGGCCGTGGGGAAAGTAGTAAGGGAAGGAGACACGGAAAGAAAAATGTCATAATATCGGAGATGTGAACAGCGATTTTATATACAGGGACTGGTTAAACGTGCTGTACCAGATACTGTAGAAGCAGGGGTGAAAGCACGCGGAGACGTGTTTGCTATTCTATACATAGCTTGAAAGTGGAGAGAGAACACAACTTATGGTCAAGGCGAGAGCCCAAATGGCTCCTCTCCGCACTGACCGTAGCGAGAGCATCTCACCCAGTGATGTCGAAGGAAGAAAAGAAAAAAAAAAATTAAAAAAAATAAATAAATGAATAAATAAAAATAAATTAAAAAAGGAACCAAAAGGTTATCTGAACCTTAGTGGGCCAGACACCGGAATCGTGGCCCTGCGTGGAGGAAAGCGCGTGACCGTGGGAATATGCACGTCGTTAAAATGTATGTAAAATCTTTAGATTGGAAGATCTGGTCTGTTCATCAATCTAAATTTGTTAGATTTATGATCTAACCTATGTCTAATCTACAGGTTAGCCTAAAACCTTACCCAAAAAAAGACGTTGGGTTGAAACATGACCCGCCATCCCCCCGGATGTTAGCCAGGTCTAATAACATGATTGGCTACCATCAAGGCGCCCAGTTAGACATTCATCTGATTCCAAATCCCAGAACAGTCGTTTATATACTCCTGTCTCTCTTGTAGGTTTCGTGTTGTCCAACTTATGCACATGATCCAGCGATGAGTAAACTGTTCTCATCATGTATTCGGTTGCTACGGCCACATATTTTATCTCCTGTCCTCCGTAAGGGGCGCATGCCACTCCACCACCGCCAACCCCGCTGCGCCTTCGCTATCACTGCGTTCAACTCAATGGCCACCAGTGACGATCTTGAGCCCAGGGTCTTATACGAGCCTCTTCAAGGAGTAGAAAGACTTGAAATGCCCAGAATACAGGCAACAGCGCCATTGATGGTGTGATGGGGACGGTGGGAAACACGGTAGAGAAGGCAAAAAATCAGACTCAGGATGTTTCTAATAAACTTGCTAAGATAGAATTTAATTTAGAGAAATGCTCTATTATCTGGTTTTGGAGATACTGCCAAGGGAGCTTCAATAAGACTGGTTTGACTGTCAGGAAATATATATCTCTAAACTTGTTCTTCTGGTTCAACTTTACTAAAATACTCGGGCTAGAGAACTTCTAGATAGAACAGATATTTCTTAATCAAGTCAAAAATATTATAGATATATATAAGATAGTATCAAAAGAAATAAGCACTATCTATATAACTATACTTATCATAACTGTACTTACCCTAATCACGGGATTAACAGCTATATGCTCTTACTGGGGAAGCTGCTTGGTCAGTATCTATACAATAGTATATAGTCTCGAATTTAAGAATATTAGTCTTGAGCGCCAATTGTATCCAGATATCAATAGTTTCTAATATAGCTGGATCTACAACAGTTATAGGGATATATGTCTCGCTTGCTGGTACTCTTAAATCGATATTTTATTCTTCGGGAATTATCGCAAGCTTAGGTCAGAGAATATTGGCGACTAACTGGTTGGCTTCATTATTTTCTGTCATGGCTTGCGTTTTCTGGTTGTTGAGTACCTGTTGCTGTTAAGAAAAGTGGTGGATCGTTGGTAGCTTCGCTAGCCACTACCCAAGCTTCAGGATGTAAGGTATATTATAGCTTATGAATGGTCATATATGATCTTTTGTTTGGGACCATGCACACGCCCAATTTTCTTTTCTTTCAAAGCCACGTTGTTATTTACGAGAGCATCTATGGTTCCGCCGTTGTGATGGGGATAGCTATGTCTAGCCCCGCAGTGGATTCTGCAGTTTACAGCCAGCGGACAAGTCACAGGAGATTAGGTATATATCTCTGAGAAGTTCTAGTATTTTATTAAGTATTGAGAGATAAATTAAAAATGGTAATAAATTAGCAATAGCTAATTTCTTTTATATTGAGATATTATTAATACTTCTTAGTATGTATAGACTACTACTATAGACAATCTCCAGATAAATTATCAAGAGTCGACCTGATCTCTGTTATTGATATAACTATAGAATTGATACAGGACTACATAAAGATAAGATTATAGTAGATATAAACAATCTTAATTACTTATCTTCTGATTCTATTATACTGGACTTCTTATTAACTACTATTTCTGTTAATTTAGTAAATAAGTTCAGAAAGATATATACAGCCAAGGTTTTATTTAGAATATAAACTGATATTAAATAGTATTCTCTTATTATAAAAATCAGTCTGTCTACAAAAGAGTTAATATAGCCAGTATAATTTATACTCTATTCTGTATATACTTTCTGGTCCTATACTTCTTTGTTAGATAAGATTAAATAGTTATACTCGGGATTTACAGGACTATTAAGATTAGTTCAGTACTGGAGACCAAGTACAGAAGTACAGAATCAGTACCAGAGTTGAGCCGCTTACAGTTTATCTGTTTTTATCTTCTTCTTCTATAATACTCTTGATAATGAACTCTGTTGTTCTATTTGAAGTAAAAATAGAAAGGGAAATTAGTCAATTTGAATATCCTAAATTTCACCAAATCTTATAAGATATAATAATCTCTACTTCTCAGAAATGCCAGCTTTCCAATTATCAAGCTATATCTGTAGGACAATAATATACATTTTTTAATTATATATACTTGTATAGCAAGGACATATATTAAGTACTCCTGTTCAGTTGTACTATAGAAGATGATGTCTAAGTAGAGAATCTTAGACATCCCCAACACTTCAGTTGATATCTATAAGTTTAATAGAATTAGAATTAATAAATACAGTCAATTATATTCACAAAAGTAGAGTATATCTAAAAACTGATTATATTTTACTGATCTTGGAGAGATGATATAATACCGCTACTAAAATCTTCTTTTTTAATAAATAATAGTTTGTAGATTCTATTCAAGTATAGGACCTATATTATAAAAGAAGTGTTCAACAAGACTAAACCGCTTTACATATTGTCAGTGACAGATTTGAGTATTTAGTAAGACTTTTCATAGAAAGTTATTGCGACTATATTTCGCAGTAATTTATCTTGATAAAGACCAAAACATTGATATAAGGCGTTGTCGATACAAGCTATAGAGGCGTACTATGCCTGTAGGCCTCGCAGAACCTTTTGTTAAACTCTACTTTCTTTACCCAGTATAACCCTCTATACTACACAGATTCTTTTTATATCTGCCATAGCCAATGGCTCTATATAGACGTTAACCCTGAATAATAATAATACACTGCGCTCTGCGTAGCGTATCTTCTTCTTATATTAAATATTCTCCTAATCAAACTTCAAAAATCACGTCTTTCTAGCTACCATTTAGATTAAATATACAGATTCTATTTTCTATTCTATAAGACATTATATTTTACCATAAATATACCAACTTATTTGATATCTCATCAGAGCATCTACTCTAGCATTATCATTCCATTACATATAAAGACTCAAACCCCCTGTTTACTGACTTTATACTACTTCGGGAATCAGTATATCTATTAACACATCCCAGATCGCTTGTAATTGTATAGTTCTCCCAAAAATCTTGGAAATAATATAGCAATTTCATATTATCCATAAACAATTTCTAGATATAAACCAATTATAATAATAGTATAGTTAAAATCTGACATCAGTAACTTTTCTTTACATAAAGTAACCCGCTAAAATATATAGACTGAGTATAAACTCTTATTTACTGGCTGGTAATTCTACTCAAATATATACTATTAAGCGATCTAGCGAAATAACAGTATATATAATAGCTATTCGCGTCCTTCTTTTCCTTCAGTCGAAGAAAATCTATTAAAGTTCATAATCTCTGACCATACAAGATAATAAATTAGCCTTGTATGATTTCCTTAGGATATATTTTACTGACAGCCAACTAGTTAATGAAACTCTTGACGAGAAGTCTAGTCCTTCTGAGGACACCAAGATGTCTCCAAGAAGCGAGAGCGGATCATTCCAACCTGCACAAGAACCGTTCACTAGAGAACTAATAGACACAAGGCTTTTAACTCAAAACGGGATCCCAATGGCAACTTGAAAGCTGGAAGAATTTCACGAAGCACCTCAGAAACTACAATCAAAGCGTTAAAATACAACAGCAACACTGAAGAAACCACGTGGATACCGTTAAATCTTTTACTGAGTATTCTTTCCATTCTTCATAACCACAGCACTGACTCGTGAGTGGCAATAATCATGCCATACAGGGCCCGAAGATTATCTCGTAATCGAAGCACGACTGGTAATTGATCGCTTGGTCGGATACCAGGAACATCCATGATGGCGAAACCGAGATCTTTCCCATCCGAGACAATGCTGAAGACAACTACAACAAGCTCCTGCGTCTCAGGGGAGTACGCGCCCGCGATGAGAAGGTCTGGGAGCTTGCCAGTGAGAAGACAGGATCGCCCAGAACAAGAGAGCTTTCGCATGCGCGCCCAGTGCCCTTTTACTCAACTAGGTTCCAGGCCGCCTGTAATTGTGCGACTCTCGCCGTGTCGGCGTTTATCCCCTGCGCATATCCTTGAGCCTTCTGCCCTAGTTGTGCCCCCTCCACACCCCACGGTGTTTCGAATCTGTGCGGGATCCCGGCAGCCCCATAGCTAATGTAGGGATTATACATGGAAGCTGTTATCCCGTTCATGTTATAATAGAAAGACGAAGACACATTGTACATCTTCTGCATATCGAGGTTGTACCTCGCCATCGAGACAATATGCCGCATCTCTGGGACCGTTTGCTCATAGATGGTCCTGCGATATGCGGCAAACGCCATAAACGAGGACAGATCCCGCTTGCCACATGCCTCGGCCCACTTGCGGCGCATTCGTGGCGAGTATAAGTCACAGTGACTCTCACCCGGGATTACTTGGGGTGTGAGAGGGAGCTCTTGGGCGAGCTCGCTGCCACGCACCACCTCCTCGTAGCACGCGAGACAGATGCGGCAGTCGTCCGTGCCATACCATTTTTGATTCGTCACCAATTCAATCCCCGGGCACAGGGGGAGCTCGCATAACCTTCTAGTAAAATCTACGAACCGGGAAAATGTGCAAGTGATCAATGCTTCATCCAGCCTGGGCGCGTAACTTAGAAACCGGAGGCTGGCGGGATTCAAATCACAGGAACTCTCCACTGTCCTCGGGTGTTGAACTGGCTTGAAGAACAAATCCAACCCGAGTGGCTTTAGCAGGCCTACGTAGCAGCTCTGGCAGGCGTCGAAGTTGTCGATGCCTTGATTCAGTTGATACGTCTGCGCACCGCGTTGTGTCTGCGAGCTACAGGACGGAGCTTGGACATATTCTATGATTGTGCGCCGCCATAGCGAAAAGTCCTTCCGCTCAATCGCCTCACCCCAGATAACCTGGGCTTGCCAGAACCCAAGGATGCATTTCTGTTGCCTTGGCGGCTGCGTCATAGGTTGGAAGTGGGATTCGAAGTCGGTCCTACTCGCAAAGTCGCGGTAGCAGCGCTCGCAGACAGCTATTCCTAGGGCTCGATCCCGAAGCTCATACCACTGCCGTGAGGAGCCGCTCATTACGCCCCCGTTTTTCTCGCATTCCGGAAGGCTCAGGTGGCGTGCGGCTTCGACAGAAAAATGCGGCCATGATTGGGCCTTGGTGAGTAATCTCCGAATAAAACCAATGGCGATGTCACACGCCCATATTTGTCCGTGTGGTTGTTTTTCTCGATGCTCCTCAAACTGACCCTGCAAAGGTGTACCCGAAACTACATCCTCATAACAAGCCTCACATGCGACGAAAGATGGAAGTCTGCTGGTGTCTTTAGGGCTGTACCACTTCACATTCTCCGATTCCCCGACGCCTTTTGTCCCATCGCAGTTCCTGATCGTGGTCCGATGACGAAAGAACCACGATAGCTCCTGAACACTGCCTGATTGCAGGGCTCGGGGCCACAAATATTTTTCAATCCGAGGTGAGCTGAAAAGGCAATGTATGCTAGCACCGGCGGGCGAGACCCAAGGGTGGAAACTTCCTTGCAACGGTGAACCCTGGATATTTTTCTCATAGCAATACATGCAAATGCGGAAGTTTGGGGCGTCAGGCAAGATATACCATGTACCGGCGCACATCAAGGTATAATTCGTTGACGGACACTTCGCCAAAGTGAAATTTGCGGGCGGGGTATACTGCACGCTTGGTCGCGACACAGCGGCATTAGAGCGTTCCTGGTCCCTGTGCTCATGGCCATGGCAGGAACTGCGCACAGTATTGGAATCTATTGGAGCTGATGACGACGCGTCATCTTGATGGCGTTGTGTTGTCGGAGAGCTTCGTTGCTGGTGGCGCGACGACAGTGGCGGTGGCACCGGTGCCCCATCCGATCCCTGCCATCCCTGCGGCTGGAAATCATAGGCAGGGGGTGGGGGTGTAGGCGTGATGTTGTTTTCGATGGGCTGGCGCGTCTGTCGCCGTACGTCCGGCTGCGGTAGCCCCGGAGCGTGGGAGTTATTTCTGGAGGAAGGCGCTTGTGATGGGGGTGGAGGAAACCAAGGACGAGACGTTGACGGTGTGGAGCTCGTCTGTGGAGTACTGTGGAGGGATGTTGACTCTCCCGCGCCATAAGGGCCCTGTGTCCGAGGCCAAGGCTGCGGTCGGTGCTCTACCTGACCGGGCGCGGGATAATGGACCGTATGTTGTGGGGTGGCTTGTCTCTCGTATGGAGGTGGCGGAGGATACGGTGCCTCTAGACGTGGAACGGTGTTTTGCGAATTATCTTGCGGTATCCGAGGAGGCAATGGTGGGGGACGACTGTCTTCCGAACGAGGTGGCCGAGGCGGTATTGGCGGGGGTGCGCTCAAGGCGTATTTCTTTGGGCGATAAGGAAACTCCATGCTAACTGTTCAGGTAAGTCCGTCCATGCGACGATCGAGTGGAAAGTGAACGATACACCATGAACAACGCGAGAGAGGCCGTGCGGGTGTATATATATGACTGGTCAAGGAAAGAAGAGTCAGGAAGGCCACGCAAATCTCACGATCAGCCTCAACTCCGAAGCGGGTCTCGTCGGGGAATCATGCTCGATCTAGGGATAGTCGATGCGGGAGCTGCAGAACAGCCTGGGTTAATACGAGCAAGCCATCGCCTTGATTGCCCAGGTTTCTGCTTCGCCCCGTCCCGTCCGTTTCGCATCCAGGGTTCGGTTCTGCTCATGACTCCATACGCCAACGAAGATCGGCGTCTCCTAGGTCTGGTGTTACTATGATGGGCCGGGTATATAATGTTCATTCTCCAGAAGAAGCTGCGTTCACCTGCCGAGGCTCTCACTCGGATCGTGGCTGCGGGTGGTGGTGATTTGGCACGAATACCCTAGGAATCCCAAGCTCTAGTATTCGCAACCTGCCTAGTTTAGTGCCTATTGCGCCTCTTGCCGGATGGACATAGGCAACCCGACTTCATCACCATATCCTTCCGGCCATCCTGAACTCCCGACCATCACCAAACACCATGGAATTGCAGGAGCGATGGGGAGGCTATGCCACACTGTAGGAGGAAGGATAGATTTCAACGGACTCTGCGGGTGGTTGTTTCATCGGCGGGAGGCGTCATGGCTCACGGTTCACTAGCCCTCGACGAAACGAACGTCGTACATTCATCTTTTGCGCCATGTATTAGTGATTGCAATCCATAAGACGGCGGAGAATTTTGTAACATACCTTTTGGTAGAGGGTTTCCTTCCACCTGGCGAGAGGGTTCCATGGTCAAAAGTCTTGCGGTACGGCCGCGTGAAACAACATGAACATCCAGTCGGGTGTTGCTGGGATAGAAGTAGTAACCAGGCAAGAAAGAACAACGGGTGACTGATATGGATCGAAAATCTGAAAGAGTCAGGCCCTTGTTGTGCTTACGACCCGTGCTTTCGACCCACAGGTATTCGCCCCCTAGTGTTTTGATGTGAGTTTTCATGCGGCCTTTCCGGGGATATGGAAAGATATCTTCGCCATCGGGGCAAATATCCACAATGACGGCCTCGGGGTCGTGTTCCAAATGAGCGATTCAACAGAATTTGTCGTCCCTCTTTAGGTTTTGTTCCTGTTACTGACAATCAAGTGAGAGTTCAGGGGAATACAGCGAGATTTATGATTATAAAGCACAGGCTTCGCGTCGTCGACGTAAGTGGGCACTGGGCCTAGCCAAACGCTCGCCCGCCGTGCAAGAATGCCACCGAAAAGGGGACATGGGAAATAGTTATGCTGGTGAATATTCCTTATGTGTTGGTGGTTTGATCTTCACGATCTCCACCGAGGCTGATGGAATGTAACGATAGGTTAACTAGTCCTTCCCAGCTCAGTTAGTCCGATGCTAGGCTCATCGGAGGGCCGCGGCGAGACCGGTGATTGGCCAGATACTATTTCCATTGCTGGATGAAATCTGCCCTCATGCGTCGGATAGGATCATGGGTACCGTCAAGGGGACACGTAGCGCAGCTATTATGGTTTCCCCATGCCGTTTCAGATGAGCAAAGACATGTCTATGGAGTATCACAAATCTACCGAGCGCTATGTAGACCCCGAAGAGCGAGTCGACGGTCAAGTTGGCCCTTGCATGGGTTCATTCTACGTTATCGGTTAGATGTGATCCACACACTAAATGGGTCCCTCACAACCTTCTGCCACTTCTCAGCCGATATACGATGGATTGGGAACACGAAAAGTAGGGCTCAGATCCCAAAATGAAAAGCCTATTCTGTTAAACCCCGGTCTGAATCAATTCACCCGGCGGTGTCAAGTGAAGTTTATCAGAGCTCTCCTTCTACGACAATGAGCCACCAGGAACGTCAGAAGAAGGGCCCAGATCGAAGGGAACCACCCCGAAACGACGCGGGGACACAGTTCGAATTTGTATTGGAGAAGGATCAGCCTGGCATTCGCAGTCATGCCATGCGACAATTTTGGAGACAGAAACAAGCCATCGCAAAGGACGACCCAAGCGACGTCTCTTCCACCGGCCGCCGTTTGTATCCCCGCACGCTAATGCCAAATGATGGCATCCAACCCTACCAGTTCGAGGGGCTGAAGGAATTCCGACAACAGATGTCAGCGCTCCAGCAAAAGGACGATGGAGCAGGATCAGCGAATTCAGGCAAAGACAATGCGGAGACTTCAGGTATCCCAACCCAAATCTTGTCTGGAATCCGTCATGCCCTGGAATTTGTGAACCACGACCCGTTCCATACATTTCCGGTGACATTGACGGCGCAACACCGCAAGCTATTGTACCACTGTGAGTATATTGGATCGACGGGCAAACCTAGCCACGGTCGGCGTCAAGGGTTCATGGCTGTGACTGACATCGATAGGGTTGAGCACGCACACCAGTGGGATGTCAGCCGCCCTCCCCCACGCGGCCTTCGATCCCATCCGGGAGGTTTGGCTGCCATTGGACTTGTCAAATAGCGCCTCATTCAACGCGACTATGGCGCACGCAGCAGCCCATCTGGCTTACCTTCACGGCGAGCTCGCCTCGCCCGAAGCTCTCCGATACAAAACTGAGGCCATCAGTGTCATCACAAAATGGCTGGATGACCCTGAGCAAGCGCTTCGAAACGAAACCCTTGTTTCCGTAGTCCGGCTTTTGATGTTCGAGGTACGTGCCCGGGCCGAGTATGGCGACAATTACGTCTTATATCATTCAAGGCATCAAGAATCTTTTTCTTTGTGATTCTGTTGACCGTTCCCGCCGTGTGCAGAAATACTGGGGAATAGATGGCCAGTGGGAAGTCCATCGAGATGGGCTACAACGGCTGATCAACGCAAAAGGTGGTCTTTCTGCATTGCGAGGGGACTGGCGTGTGGAACTCGTCGTGTTTTTGTGAGTCTTCCCATCCGCCGTCCACACTGACGACCCTTGGGAAAAGAAAAATCCCTGGAGACTGACACACGCGTAACGGATTATCTACCAGTGCCTCCTTCATTGCAGGATCACCACAATGTGAACCATCCACGCATATATGGGAGCTGTCAGAGCATTTCACACCGACTGCCCTTCACCCAACAGTACAATTAACAGCGGACCGGCATCGATCCAAGGTGATAGAAAGTCTTCAGATATACCCAGCCGTATATGACGCGACCGTCTTGTTATACAACTCATTCCACCAGGCTCCCGACCCTGAGTTACTGGCGAAACCCTCAGAAATGTCCACCCGACGGCTGAAGTGCTTGGTGTTCCTCAGTGTCATTTTCCAGGAATCAATTTACGCCTCGATATCAGCACTCGGCGGAGGTATCAGTATAGACCATTCGTTCACCAACCAGTTAGCGGCGTTGGATGAGTTGTTGACAACGTATCACCACCGGTGGGGAGGCGAGGTTGAGGTACTGTATACAATTCTCTTCGGTAACTTTTGCGATCTGAATCACCGGCACGAAACCCCGGAGATGGGGTTTGTTATACGGCTCTCAGACAGCCTGGGCCAGCTCAGTCAGCGCGCCCGCAAAGTTATTGGGCAGTGTCTCTTGAACATGCTCTTGGAAGAGAAATGAGTCATGACGCTACTAAGACCACAGCGCCACTGGATCGGATCTTGCGTCCGCGACTCTTCTATCCAGCTGATGGCAAGTGTGTATAGGATTTTAGAGTTATTGCATATTACCCACAGCGATCCCCTTCACCGCCATGCTGTCTGTCATATAGGAAAGCCGTAGACGAGGAAGCCAACATGGTCTTGGCAAATCCCTTCACCAATCCGGCATAGCTGGGTTTTAAGGGTTTTTCCCGCCACGGGATTTCCGTGGGTTCAACCCTCTCTTTGGCCCAATCCGGTAATACTAATCAACCACTCAATCTCAGTCTGTTGCGATGGATTGAGCCTCCAAACACAAGAAAGGAATGATCAACGGCAACCTAGGAGCCTTTCGTCTCGGGTTGTGAGAGACATCACTGTCTGGTCTTCTATCATTCTGATTTCCTCGTCCTCAACTCTTTTTACGCGCAGTAATTGTCGCCTTCCTTTCAGCTTGCCTGGGTTGCTCTAGACATGGGAGCAATGCGCCGTATAAACAGGAAAGGAGGACAACAGCGAAAAGGGTATGGCACAGGTCAGTCGATGTAAGCCAGACAAGTGTCCTTCATCACCTGTTTTCCCATATGTCTGAGATTCGATGCTTTACTACACAGAACCTCAGATATTGCATGGATACCGTGCGTATCTGCAGAGAGAGAGAGAGAGATACGCGAGCGAGGACATCAACTTCCGACAGTCGAGAAACGAACACCATGCGGAGCAATACCCTCTACTACTAATCGCTACCGGGTTGTAGAAACCTGACGTCCGATTCCAGAATGGCCTGCCATTTCAGGCAACAGGGATGCCTGAATCTCACCTTCCTGGCAAGGAAATATGATATCCGTTGCACGGTCCCCATCGTGTGGACTATCCTACGTTAATAAGGGGCGCTAGAGTTATCTTCCAAGACGAAAATTTCCTTCTCCTCATAACTTGGATGTCCATAGCTGTCAGGGTTTCAACAGAAACAATCTACTGAGTATTCAGATAGCACATCACCCTACACAGGATTACGATTCATTGCTGTTATGGATAGCAACGTTACAAGGCCAACGGGGAAGCGCAAACCTGGAATGACGGTAAGCCGAGGCCAGGCACTCCAGTATCAGGATGTTCAAGAACCTACACCTCTATCTTTCTTGACACCTGCGACCGACCTAGAGAGATCAGTCCACGAAGGCATACTTACAACGAGGCATTCGCCATTGTCACACACCAATAAACTCCCAATAGTTTCAAGTCTCCTTTTCCTGTTGGTCACAGTGTTATTTATATCGTAAGTTGCTCATGCTCCGATAGGTGATTTAGGCTATCGCCGATCCCCAGTCTCAATCAGTAGTGCGTCCTTTTCAACGTATTAATGGCGCCACTACTGCTTTCCAAGACGTAAACTGACAAGCTGTTAGTCTGGTCTCCAATGCAGTGTCTCGTTTGCCATTAGCTCAATGTCCCATACACTGGCTACCGAATCCATCAAAGCCAGTTCCCAGCAGTCGGACCGCCGAAAGACACTATTCTTATTACCAGGTTGCCACATGATCGCATAGGCCATTATGTTAGTCCCTCCCTCGACCATGTTGTGTGTTGGCAAGACATGACACAGCCTGGAAAAAGTATAGCAGATCTGGTCTAGGGGAAGTAGAACATACGGCACTCACCCCAACCCATGGAGTTAAGGTGATTGGAGGGGCTCTTGGTAGCTAGATTACCAACTGTTTCCTTTCCGAGCCAATTCCTGGGGGGATAACACTCGCATGGTACGGTTAGTGAAGTGATTTAAGCATCCCCTGATGTTCGAATGTTGCTTATGCGTGTTACTCTAAACAGAACCTGCAGCTGTGAAGTTTTTATTGAACTATCCAGCTTCACTCCTCATGGCTCGTTTATAATCCTATCCACTCACCTCCATCACCGGTCCCTTATAAGGTATCCTATGTGAAATGGGTCAATGCATAAATACTGCAAGGTAATGAGGACCTCATCGGAAATGGATGGGTGTCGCCCTGCATACGGTGGAAGATATAGCTGGAGAAGACTAACACGGTCTGGAAACGAATTTAGAATTCAGCTTACCAAAGGCTACGGTCATAATGATACACTCTAGAAAGCTCGGTTCAGTGGATTGGACAAGGCGTAATACTATTTTGTATGAACGGTAGATTCATCTTTCACATATTCTTCGACCGGAACTAAGTGGTGGCATCTTCCCCATCGAGTTTAATCTTCTGAGTCTCACATCCCAATATTACCGCTCCCTGACACCGTAATCGGGACCCTTGACGCTGTCGGAAGGTCCACAGTCCATGTCCTGGTTTCCCGGATGATATACGTCTCGCTTGATTGACTCTGAGACTCCCACTCCGCGGATGCCCGCGACGTCGATATTTTCGTCTTTGTCCCATACATGGGGGACAGAACCAATTCACCCCCAGATTCCGAAAGTGCTCCCTTAGTTGTGGAAGAGGTGTGTGGTGCTCGTAACCCGCCGTTATAAGTGGTACTGGACCATTTGTTGTTTTGGAGACAGAATGCGTTAGAACGGAGTCGAACCAGGAAAGGCTTCAGCTGACCCCAGCAAGCTGTGACGATACTGAGAGATTGGGTGATCTCCATGCAGATTGTCCTGGGGGCTGCGTTGATAAAGGGGTCAGTAGAAGGGGTGTTGGCTTTGGTAAGGATTATTTGAGCGATACTTGATGCGACAACACTAAGGGTGTCAACAGTTCAGTACCAATAGGAGGACAGAAATCATACAGGAGCCGCGGAATGAAAATACTGGCAAACACCAGTTTTTTCCTCCACGTAGTTTGGACATGGACGATCAACACCATGGCTTGGACAAAGATCACGATGTCCGTTACCCCATTCGTGACGGCAAGGAACACGACCCAGGCAGCCTATGGCTCATTAATATCTGTCTGGGTATCACGACACTGCCACGTGCTGTCTTACACGGTCGATACACTGCCCATTGAGATAGTCCCAGGTTCTTGGAAGATGACACTGGAGGGCTGTCCCGAAAAGGCCAGTCACTGCAGTTACTGTCACCAGCCCCTGAGCAACACGGGCGAGGACACGGTCTCGGGGAGCTGGCGTAAGGCTACAGATAAAGACAATCATGGCCAATTTGGAGCAAAGCAAACTCAGTATAAACAGCAGTGCCCCGGCGAGCTGCGACTGTGATGAGTAAGTAGAAGACACACGACCTCAAGCCAGTTGGAGACAGCAATTGACCTTCATCACAACCTCTTGCATGGATGCTATGATCGCATCGGTGTGATTACCGAAGCCATGGGTAGTGGCCATTGCGATTGCAATGCTATTTCCAATGGAAAATGCCTACATTGTCAGTCATTTCAGGGAGTTTTGCCAAAGTTTGGCACACGTACAAGCGATGTAACGATGAGGGCATCATCGGTTGTCAACCCTCCAACCATCAGCCATTTGGTTACGAGTCGGGATATGACCGCTAGTGCAGTAACACTCATTAGAAGCCATGTTATGACTGCCACAGCAGGGTTCCAGCTAGCTGGTTGAAATTGTGCCATGGGTTGGACACTCTGAAGAACAGTAACTTAGCACTTCATCAATAAGACATATGAAGTGGAGCCTTCTATTCAACTTGGGGATGACTACAGGTGTAACTATATATAGTCTCGTGATATATGAGGACCGGATCAAGTGTCACAATGCCAAGGGCGCCTTTCGACAAGCTAACAAAGAAATCAGTGACGATCCCACCGTCAAGTAACCCTAGTACGACCTCTCTCTTCCTCGGCTCAGGCTGGATAGCAGTGCAGCGCAGTGCTAACTGCGCCGTACGATTGATTAGCCGTTGTGACGGTTCGTTCATTGGGGGATTACTCGGGACCAAGTGGTCTATATCTGACACTCCGGCCTACAAAATGAAACACCCTACTACTACGGGACATGCGTAGTAGATTTCTTAATTCTAAGAGGAGCATCGAACCTGATGACTGTATCTATTGCACACTAGGACACACCTTACTCTCAACAGGTAGATAGACTTTTATGGTCGAGACTCCATCCATGACCCGGACGAAACGAGAAGGTAGAGTAGCACAAATGGGAGCACAGCAGGGACTGCATTCAACTGACCCTCACACACAACAGTAGTAATTTCCGGGGCGATTATAATCCGCCTGCGCCCGTGTAATCCAGTCTCCATGCAAATGTTTCTCTTCCCCCCCTCCTTGCCCCGACTTTCTACTATGAATCGTTCCGCTGCTTGGCCCAGTGTAGTCAGATCGCTGGATTCTTTACAGATGCCATAGGTATCTGGAAAGGTTGAGTCCACAAGTCTCCAAACGTGAATAGCCTAAGGTATAGAATTGCCCCAGCAGATATCTCTTCCGTTTACAGTTTTGAGTACTTCCAAGAACAGCCCGTAAGTGGGATGGCCTCGTACGAGATGAAGAACAGGGTGGAAGTCGGTCACTGTCTAAGTCCGGATCGTGACGATCTGGACCTTGCGAAAATTGGAAAAAGGGCCATTCTCAAGGTAGATCTTCAGTTCCACAATCCTCTGTCGTATACTAAGCTATCTTCCAGCGCAACTTTAGCACTCTGTCGATTCTCGCCTTCAGCTGCACCATTACCGCCACCTGGGAAGGAATCCTGAAGCAAGTCATGTCTGTCTCCTGTAAACGAACGAATACTAACATGTAGTCAGCACCTTTCTGCTTCCTATGACGAAGTTGGACTCTGTCTACTATTCCTGCATGACCTGGCTAACCAAATCTAGTGGAGGACCCGCTGGTGCCGTTTACGAGTATATCTTTGCATGGATAGGAACTGGATCTTGCTTTTTGGTTCTCGCCGAGCTATCTTCCATGTGAGATCCTCGTCCTGTGCTCGATGGACCAACTTTATGACCAGTAGCATGCAGGGCGCCTACATCTGGCGGCCAATATCATTGGTGCGCAATGCTTGCGCCCCCCAGTTGCATGAAATTTTATAGCTATATCACGGGTGTGTATTGCCTCTTCCAATTACTGGCTGTGGCCGACATTGATATCTTTAGGCTGGATAACTGTCTTTGCTTGGCAAACCGCCTTTGCATCGATCGCCCTGTTGAGCGGCACCGAGATCCAGGGGGCTGCTATCTTGACCTTCAAGAACTACCAGAGCGAACACTACCATGGGACTCTTATCCTATGGGCCTGTGTGATACTCGCTCTAGCAGTAAATGCGACCGGTGGTAAACTACTTCCACGTCTTGAAAACCTTGTTTTTGTCTTGCATATCGTTGGGTTTTTGGCCATTTTAATCACTCTTACCTACGTGGCGGATCACAAAAGCGCTAAGGAGGTGTTTACCACATGGACAAACAGCGGTGGTTGGTCCTCTAACGGCATCGTCTTTTTCATTGGGATGCAAGGTAGCGTTTTTGCCTTTTCTGGTGGCGATGCTGCCGTCCATGTAAGTCGCGCTCGTTGTGAAAGAACATATCAGCTGGCTTCTAAACGGAACAATAGATGGCCGAGGAAGTCCACAAGGCCTCAGTGGTCATCCCTCGTGCTTTAATACTTACTGCACTGATCAACGGTGCCCTCGGATTTGGCATGCTGGTTGGGGTCTTGTTTTGTATGGGCGATCTTGAGGCAGCGACCAGCACTCCCACGGGATATCCCTACATGGAAATCTTTTTTCAGGCAACTAATTCGTTAGGTGGTGCTGTGGCCATGATATGCATCGCGCTTGTGATTTGTGTATGTTCTGCCATTGGAATGATAGCTGCGACCTCTCGCCAGTTGTGGTCCTTTGCGCGTGATCGAGGCGTGCCTGGATGGAGGTTATGGAGCAAGGCCTGCTGTCCTTTCTTTCTTCGGATTCTGATGTCTGCAGTAGCTGACGGGGAAGTGCAGGTCTCTCCTACCACGAACATTCCGATCTACTCTGTGTGCTTCACCATGGCTGTTTCATGTCTTCTCGGTCTGATTAATATCGGCTCCGATGTCGCGCTGAAGGACATTTTGTCTATGGCTGTTTCTGGCCTCTACCTGTCATACCTGACCGTTGGGACCTTGCTTCTCTACCGGCGTCTCTGCGGCCACATCCGCGCCAGCAGTGAGTGCGAGGACATGACTGTCAATGTCCCCAATGCTCCGTTAGTCTGGGGGCCCTTCCGTGTTCCTGGGATTCTGGGGGCTGTCAACAATGGCTTTGCTGTTTGCTACATGATTGTCGTGATTTTCTTTAGCTTCTGGCCCACGACAGTGGTGGTGGATTATAAGTCTATGAACTACAGTGTGGTTGGGACATTTGGCACAGTCATTATCGCCGTTCTATATTATGTGGTCCGGGCCCGGCATGTTTACGACGGACCGGTGGTCGAAGGAGGTTAAATTTCGACACCATGGCTCTTGGTTTATATAGCGAATTGAAGGACAAGTATCGGGTTAAAACTGAAGACCATAGTATTTCGGGCTTGACGTGAGGGGCCGGGCACCATGTAGAAGAGTACACCGTGGATATCTTTAGATTTCCGGGCAGCACTAGAACCAAATGATGTGTTGTGTCGTACCGTGCAGCTCATCATGCGTGGGCCCCCATGATCACCGTGTAGGTGGCAGCGATATGTTCAATAGGGAAGGATATTTAACTATTCTACCTCATCCTCAGTTCAGCTCGCAGAACACTCTCATTCTACTCAGACACATCGATTTAAAATGGCCGGTAAGTCAATCTGGAAACCACAGAACGGTAGTACATATTATGCTAAGGGACGATGCTCCTTCTAGACTACGCATATACCGCTCGTACGTGATGTCCCTTTGCACTTCCCAGCGCTTTTGCCCCGATGGCTGATGCAGGGGATCATCTAACATGAACTCGCTAGGATAGAGCGGTTTGTTGAGTTCTACAACCGGTCGTTCGATAGCCAGCGCGAGGCTCTTAGGGGCCTCTATGTATGGCGGTCTCCTTCCATCACGACAGATGTGATGGGCTGACTATATACACCGCGACCCAGACATTTTTTCTCCATCCTGAGGAGGCAGGAGGCTACTTCATCTTAAATGAAGTTTTCCGTATCATCTCTAAGGAATAGATTCGTGGTGTGGTATGTGCTTGGTGCCTGTCGGAGGAATCATCGATCACGGGGCTGTCGCTCGTAGGGGAACGGATCATGAAGGATTATTCTTTACGGAGGGGTTAAGAGACGCATGGCTTGGCTTTAGTCATTGCAGGGACATCGTGCAGGGAACCCTGGTTTGTTCTTCACGATGTCAAGACGGGGTTTCCTTGGACTCAAAGGGCAGAGATTCACTTTCGCCAGGCAAATCAGAAGAACTACAGCAGTGACTTCCCATGCAGATCGATTCACAGGTGTTAGGGCGCAGGGTTCCCCTAGCGGCTGCACCTCTGGCCAACGGAGCATGCAATGGCCGACCAGGTTTGGCCCAAAGACCATAGCACTCCTCTCAAGGTGACGACAAGAAGCAAATCCTGTTCACCTCAGGTCCCGCAGTATGCCGGATGAGGTGCCCGACCCTGCGAGCAGCTGGTGCAGAACTTGTAGTGCCAATACATAATATCTTCCGGACCCACTCCGAAGGCTCTAGGTGTACCATTTTACTGAGCAACCTGTTAAAGAGTACATTGACAGGGTACTAATAGCAACTCTACTGGGCTTACAATCTATAGTGGTTGCTAGGTGGGGCCTTCGGACGCTGACATTTTAATAACTGGTTCACTTGTCATATCGCGGCAGCCAAGGCAAAAGATCAAAATCAAATCAAATGGAAATCAATCCCGGCCGGGAGAAAAATTCTGCAGAACCGAAGCCGAATACCGGAGCCGAGTCTTAGTCATAGCCTCATACCATCGTGCATAAAAATCGTTCGCTCGTCCGGCATCGCCTAAGGAATCCGCTCCCATAGCCAATTATACCCCCTCGACTACTCCACTAGTGGGGGAGAACCAGCGATCGTGCAAGATGAAAGTGCGATGTTGCGATTGGCGAGGAATCCTGGGAGGCGAAAAAAAGAAGCTTTACCCGGCATGGGGGCATGTCTTTTTATCTCTGGGGTAATTTCTGCGTAGGGAGAGGATTCCCACCATCGTTCACCCCCTCCCACCCAATATTCCCAGGCAGATCATGGAGAAGTCCACGTTGGCTGAGGAGGCTATCCAGCCCACCGGCTACAATGAGTATGATGCGCCTCCCAAGGACGAAATCCAGCTCAATGTGGGTGGTCGCGGAGCGACGCAACGCCGCCTCCGGAACTACCATGTCACCATGATTGGTTTCTGCAGTGGAATTGGCACCGGTCTGTTTGTGGGAACAGGCGCCGCGTATGCCAAGGCCGGTCCAGCTGGCTTGTTACTGGCATATATCGTCGTGGGCCTGGTGCTATGGTGTGTGATGCAGAGCATCGGCGAGCTGGCAACGCTACTGCCCACAGCCGGATCCTTCCCTCACTGGGCCACTCGCTTCATCGATCCGGCTGTCGGGTTCTCGCTAGCCATCTCGTATGGATACTGTTATACGATTGCCATCGCCTCGGAGGTCTCCGCTGCTGCTGTAATTGTCTCCTATTGGACTGACATCACACCGGCCGTGGTCATCACGGTGGGTCTAGTGCTGATCCTGGCCAGCAATCTAATGAGTGTGCGGTTCTATGGCGAAACAGAAGTCTTTGGCGGTGCGGTCAAGGTCCTCTGCTTCCTCGGCTTAGTGATTGTATCCATTGTGATCACGGCTGGTGGCGCGAACAACGATAGCATCGGCTTCCGCTATTGGAATCACCCTGGACCCTGGACGAATTATAACGGCATCACCGGTCCCACGGGTCACTTCCTGGGCTTCCTGTCGTCCTTTGTCAACGCCTCCTTCAGCTTCATCGGTGTCGAGACCGTGGTCATCACCGCCGCGGAGTCGGTCAATCCCCATCATGCTATCCCCAAGGCTGCCCGCCGTGTGACATACCGCATCGCCTTCTTCTATATCCTTGGTGCCCTGCTGATTGGTATCATTGTCGATCCACGGAACCCAGCCCTCGTCTCGGGCTCTGATAACGCGAACAGTTCACCCTTCGTGATCGCCATCAAGGAGGCCGGCATCAATGCCCTGCCGTCGATTGTCAATGCATGCATTCTTGTGGCCGCATGGTCCGCCGGTAACTCGTACTGCTGGGTGGGCTCACGCATGATCGTGGCCATGACCACGGACCACCAGCTACCGCAAGTGTTCGGCCGCGTTACCAAGAAAGGCGTGCCCTACGTCGCTGTCATTACCGCCTGGCTGTTTGGGCCCTTGGCGTACCTGAGTAAGTCAAATTCTCACCGGGTCCCACCCCCTCATCATATAACTGGTTCATCATATACTAATGGGCAACAACCGTTAGGTCTCGGCTCTGGCGGTGCAGCGCAAGCGTTTTCCTGGCTTCTGAACCTCAGCACGGTGGCTGGATTGATCGCATGGGCAACGCTCTCCTTCTGCTACATTCGTTTCCACGCCGCGATGAAAACGCAGGGTATCTCCCGTGATACCCTCCCTTGGAAGGCACCGCTGCAACCGTATGCTGCCTGGGTAGGATTCATTGGCTCAACCATTATCACGTTGGTTGCTGGATTCCCCGTCTTCTTGAAGGGTAATTGGTCTGCGTCGGACTTTGTGGCGTCGTACATCGGCATCCCCATCTTCATTGTACCGATCATCGGATGGAAGCTCATCAAACGTACCAAGGTGAGTTGGACGGCTCTCGCAATCTCTTGGTTAAGAAAGCTCGCTGACCGTAGGAAATGTCTAGTTTGTCCGAGCTGCCGATATGGATTTGTGGTCGGGCCGTTTGCAAGAAGGGGAGATCCTGGTGCAAAGACGCGCTCCCGAGACCCTTTGGGAACGCTTTGTGGACTGGCTTGTATGAGATATCCCAAGGTTATATGTCGATCTACACCGCGAGCGATACTGCCGATTCAACACGGCCACCGTACGCGAGTGAGCGCCTGACTATCGAGTGCCCTGGAAGGCCCTCCGGAATTGCGCCCCGCGACTGCCTTTTTGTACATAGAGATAGACTTTTGCATGGCTAGCTGGGGACTGGGTCCCGCCAGAGCCTTTTGTATTATATCAACTATATGAGCGAATGAAGACCACCCATAATCCATTGTGCATCCTTCGTCCTGTAGCCCTTCCTGCCTCAACTATAATAATAACAAAACGGCCCGTCCAGCGTATCCATCAGGTCTCGGAATTTCACAGGCTCAGCGGCAAATCCAAAATGAATCATCTCGTCCAACGTCATATTGGCTGTCGGGGGCGTGTCGAGGATGGTGTGCGTGCCCCAAATGGCATGCCTCCTCTTGTCTGGATCCAACCCTTGCCAGATGGTCCACACTCGATCAATCTGCGCATGATGCAGATAAAACATCGGATCGCCGGGGCTACCAGCTGCATCTCCCATGACTATCCCGACCCCGACGTGGCCGCCGCGATGAACGCCGTACGGCACAGACGGAACAGAAAACCGGGGATCTCTCTGCATCACGCCCTGGAACCAATCGATGGTGTCATAGGAAAGGATCAGCTCTGTAATGTGGCGAAAGGTCACGGAAGATCGTGTGACGGTTGGATTGATATCTCGTTTGAGGCAGTGGGGGTGATGCTCGAAGCGGTAGCTCACGGGCTTTTGGCCTGCGCCATCAATCGGACCCATGTTGATAGTGTAGTTCGAGAAGGGCCCCTCGTAGACACACCCTCCGCCCGTGCCGACGGGGAGATACTCATGGATGGAGGGCCAGTATACCGGATCCCTGTTTGGTATGAACACCCCGTTCGATCCCATGCTATACTCGTCACCATTGAACAGCACGGAGAGATGAGGGTTCTCGGCGTCCAATCCCCAGTCCCAGTACGGCAGGGATCCGGTGTAGTGGCATTTTGATTTGAGATCCTGCTCGAACGTGTGGATGAAGTACCGATGCCAGGCAAGGAAGTCCGCCTGTACTTGTTAGACAACCATGATTCTCAGCCTTCTATCCGCGCGAACTATCCAAATCTTACCGTCTGGTGGATGACACTGGTCAGGTTGATATGTGTGGCCAGAAATTCATCATACCGAGTCTGTACCCCAGGATAAATCTGGCGAAGATCGGCTGACAGAGTGGTTGGAATGCTCTGCAGGCACCGCACAGCGTCGGTGAACTGCCGTCTTTCCTCGTGGGTCAGCTCGCGCCTACTGACAAGTTAAATCTCTTATATCAAAAGGAAAGCACGTCGATCACTGTTTGATGTACCATTCTCTACGTATGTAGGCGTGTTCAGGTCGGCAGCTCCCTGTCCGACCTCTCTTGATATTCTCAGTCGCCTCACGGGCAAGCTGCCGCAGAGCGATGCCCTGGTCCACTTGCTCCGGCGAGAAATCATAGATGCTGGCGGCTAGGAGGGCCAGCGGTCCACAGGCTAACCAAAGCAGCACAGATAGTATGTACAAATGCATCTCCGATGTGAACGTTTCTTCTGATTGAGGGTGTGAAAGAATGCTGAGGTTGGGCTCGAAAGGATCATCCCTTGATTAGGAGGCTGCAGCAACCTTGCATATGACAAATCACCAGAGTGACATTGGAGGATTCCGATCTGCCTATCGCAACCGCCGCATTGAGCTTTCTTCCTGCAGCGATCCCCACCAGTGTCAGACTGATTGGTGTCTTGGGCGATACTAGTAGTCGTCCAGGAGCTAGATGCGAATCCGCCAATGCCACTTGTAGTCGAGACACGCCCACCGCGCAGTCATAAAGAGAAACATGGAAAACAGGAGCACACATCCCAGCCAGATCACCACAATCCGCGAGCCCACTTTCTCCAGCATCTCTCCTCCGATCGGGATACAGATCAACGTCCTAGTGCTGTCAGTAGAGTGTTGATACACACTGGCAGCCGAGATGACACTCACGCGAAGCTCACCAGACAGTAGCATGTCCCAAATCTCATCCCGATCTCTTTTGCATTCGACACTTGCCGAATGCAGACCGGGGCAAGGCTGATGAACGACCCTGAACAGAGGCCATATAGGGCGCTAAAGATATACAGTGCTGACAGATGTCGGCTGAAGGGGTACAAGATGGCAAATATCGTCAGAACGGCCGATAAAATCAAGATAATGAGGACGTTCAAGCGACCGTATCGATCGGCAATCCGGCCGGCGAGGAGACGACCGACACAGGAGCATCTACGGCTGTTGTGAGAAGGGGAACTGGAGGGATATATCTCAACTGAAGGGTAACACATACACATTGAGCACCACCAGAGTATATACGCTCGCACTGGTATTGAAGCCCTGCTTGGTGACGTACGTGGGAAAGAGCCCGATGAGTGCGAACATTTCCAATTCGAGCGCTACTGCTGTTAACCATGCAATGACGAACGGGTCGCGGGGAACCTACCAAAGATCCCGCAGCTCAGCAATGTGAAGCGAGAGTCCTTGAAGCACCGAATATCGATCGCCGCCTTCAGCTGTCCCTTGGGGAGGCGAGACTTGACGAGGAACGAGGCGAGTCCGCACAGCACCAGGACGACCAACGCGACGATGCGCATTCCCCACTGGAAGCCCAGGTTGGCAAAGGCGCCCTTCAGGATAAAAGGGAAGACCACGCCGCCCAGACCTGCGCCCGCCATGGCCGTTCCGATCGCCATGCCGGCGCGCGCCTGGAACCAGTGGGGCACACAGGACATCCCGATGGTGCTCGTGAAGGCACCGCCGATGCCTGCCATGATGCCGAAGCAGATGATAAAATGCCAATACTGGGTGCATTCCGCGGTCAGGAACAGGCTCAGCACGTAGAATGCGGACCCTGCGGAGACCAGCTCTCTCGGTCCGTAGGTGTCGAACAAGGGGCCCACGAAGACACCAAGGCCCAGCGACACAAAGACGAACAGCCCCGAGATCCAACCGACATTCTGGCTCGAGTAGCTCGCTAGCTGGTGGGATTCCAGATAGGATTGCAACACCCCGACCGAGTTCATCAGCCCGTAGGACGACATCAGCAGCAAAAAGGAGCCCAGGACCACGAGCCAGGAGCGATAGCCGCCATCTGGGAAGCCGTCGGCCTCGGTGCTTGGCTCCTCCAGGACCGTAGGATTGTCCTCCACTTGGAAGTCATCCACCGGTCGGCGAGACTCACTGGCACCGACGGCCGGATGGCTGATGTCCACGCCGGAAGAGACAAAGCCCTTTGCGCGGTCCGATACAGCCATGGTTGGGAGGACGTAAGATGTGTGCGAGGTCATGCTGAACTGATCTAGGAATTTCTGACGGTATAAAGAGCCTGCGGGGCTTGATAAGCAGTCGTCCAGATGCGTTGGCCAGGGAAATCTCTTCCCAACTGGTCGAGTCGGCATGCGATTCCGGAGCTCGTCGGATGGCTGATCCGCTTGCCCGTCGGAGTCAACACGAACGATCTAGAACCTCTACAGATCCTCGTCGATCTCGAGGTCCAACTGGAATGGCAGCTGGCGGACATCGCCCATCCATCCCTCCTCCTCTTGACACCGAGCCCTCAGACCCAATTCATGATAGCCATTCCATACCTGCGAGCCCAATCGGGCGTCCCCAGTCTGGTCCTCCTCCCGGACGTCGGGGGGCTCGCAGCCATGACTGCTACAGGAGGAGATCAGGATATCGGCGTCGACTCCAAACTCCCCCAAGCTCTCGAGATGACTCACGATTGACCGGTCCGCTGCATTGCAACCCCACCAGGTCATCCTTGGCGCTTCAAATAAGCCCAAGTCAAGCGGTGGGGCAAAGAAGATATGCTCGAATAGCGTTTCCATGCGTAGACCGTCTCGTGTTTTGCGGGGGTCTCCCTGCAAGATGCTTCAATTAGCCTCGGTACGAGTGTCTGGTATTTCCCCCACGCACCGGAACCTCATAATAGAGATAGACGCCAAAGGCGCCCAAGAACGAATGCCACCGCGCCAGCTTAAAGACCGGGGGCTGTTGCACCAGCATGCGACGCCAGCTGGCCTCTCGGCGAAGAAATGCCGCTTGCGTTTCTGGGTATTTGGCCATACGGAAGGTTGAGAGGCATTCGCCAGTGCGATAGGCAGGGACTCTCCCATCCATCGCGGTGTCAAAGACGAATGGGAATGCTTCGGCCAAAAGTGGATTCGGCACTTTGCGACCGTGGGAATCCCCGCTGCGAGGCATAAAAAAGAGGGCTCTCTGCAATACCGGGGACTCCTTTATGAGATTCCGCCATGTCCGACAGGTTCTTTGCGCGGACGTCAGGAGCGTACGAAGGTCTAGTTGCAGCAGAATGGACTCTAATAACTCTGGAGTAGACAGCGTCTGATGCATCGCTGGTCGAGCCGTGGCCATTTTATGCGTCTAGACGAGTGTTCGGGTGGGTAGGATTATGGACCCCAGGGCATCCATGGACGTTATTTAACAGCTTCCACCTAATTCCCCTGGTATAAACACGAGAAGACCGTGCCCATGTGGGTCTTTGGAACACGAATGAAATCAGATGGGCAGAGAAAAGACGGGACGCCGAGGTTTCAGCGCAAATTGACAGGGTTTCCAATCCATTCCATGAGGTATTGACACGGCAGTGACTACGATATACGGCTCTCGTTCAGCCCAAGGAGAACACTTATGCGCTGGGAAATAAGAGTTAGGTATTCATATTGCTGATGCAAGCTATAGTCGGCAGACGGCATCATCTGGCCATGAGGTTAATTACCTGAACTTCAGAGTCCGGCTTAAGACGTCCGATGCGGTTGGAAAGTTTGCCTGTGTTTAGGGCCAGGCGAATTAGATCAGGGTACCCATCGTCGGTTTGGGCAGATTACCTTACGATGGCTCCAAGGCCGTCGTTGGCCAAATGCATTCTATACAAAATGGTGGAATTACAGGGTGTTTCAACTGGCACAGTTCTTCGATCATCCTGGAGCAACCGATGTGCACATTCTCGCTCTGACAGACTGCGAAGAGAATCGACACCAGGTAGACCTTCATCTACTATACCGTCACTACATCTTTCAGGACAGCCGCATTGTTCATCACTACGAAATGGACAGCAGAAATTCGATAGAGGAAGCTTCAACACAGATCACGGCCGACAGTCAGCAAGCAGGTGTATACTTTACTATCATATAGTCACCTTCTATGGAAATAGGCTTGAAAATTGATCTGGTATATTGCATCCTCTTACAATGAATGGAATTCAATAGTTGAAATTCAAGTGTGCTGTTCAGCATATCTCGTATATATATCCATGGTCCTATAGCCTCCAAACCATATACATATTCTTATGGCCCTACCGAATAAAGGCACTTTGGTGTTATAAGTTTTTCCTAGGACGATCCTGAGTGGGCGACATATTTTATTATTTCCCACCAATTTCTAGAGAATTTTCAAGTCACCATGTCCTTAGAAGAGTCGGAGAAGGATGTGATGCGTATTCCCACACGAGGGTTGAACCCCGTGTATTACCGATACGTGCAAAATGATATTGTCATCAAAGCAAACCGGAGACTAACTTGGAGTGGCAAGCAACTAGTACACCCTTTTCGGAGTCTGGACGCCAAGCGATCGTAAACTTGGTAACCGTCAGACGCGTCTGATACTCGATAATCCCCGGAGTGAGGGCAGATGGCCACTGTCTCCTTCATCCTTTTGGGCGTACAACCGAAGGAGGTTAAGACCTTCTAGTTGAACAAAGACTTCGGGAAGAGCGAGGATGTTGTCGGCTTTGACTGGGCAGGTTGCAGTGCGTCGAGTTTTGGGGAGCAATATTCCCACTGCATGAGCATTCCTACCACTTCAGCCTTGTCATTATCATGTCCTCCGAGCTGACGTATCACAGAGAAGGCAACATCCTTTCCCCTCCACACATGAGGATCGGGTGGAGAGTAAAGGCATACGTCGGCACCTACGAGTGCTATACCTTCCCAGCATTCATGCAGTCCTCTGGACCAGTCAACATCGTTCTATGGCGGCGCAAACTACTGGGAGGGCAAAATGACGCTTCACATCTGCGCCGAGAACAGCCACAATAATGTACTTCGGCTGTTGCTGAATCATGGTGCAGAGATCGACGCAACTGATTTCGTAGGCCGTACTGCCCTCCACTACGTGACAACGAGGGAATATGCTAACTGTGTGTCTGTGATGCTTGAACAAGGCGCCGACACTGAGCTGACTGATGAGTACGGGCGGACTCATTTGCATGTAGCCATGGAGCTGGGATATGAGGCGGTGGTGCAACTGTTGGTCCACGAAAGAGCTGATCTTAATGCTGGTATCACTGGGAGAATGCAACAGCAGTCATAATTTCTATATCTTTTGCACGTAATATCGCTCTCTAATAAATTGCTGGCATGGTTCACACAGCCAGCTCAACATTGACCACGCCATCCAGCAGAACAGGAATATCAAGCCCATATTGCATATGCCATCTGGTCTGTGGCGGTCACAGCAGCCAGCATGAGATGATACAATGAACGGCTCGCGTCTTTTGCAATCTGTCCTTTTAACACCTATAGGCCTGGTTGTTGTGGACTTGGCTGACTTGGTTCTAACGAGTCCATCTGTTGTGTGACAAGGGGAAAAGCCATGACATTAGACTCAGTACCAGTTTGCCGACGAAGTACCGGGCACGGCTGCTCCCAAGAAAATACGTATACCTCTAGCCCAGTGCAATTGCATCGGCAAATCGGCAGGGGTGGTAGCACATTTGCCACGAGCGGAAAATCTTTGCATGACCTTGTAGCACTTTTACACCACTTGGAGAGGATGTGAAATTTTGAAGTCTTTTCTATTTTCCTACCCATTTAGGAAGTTGATGGGAGTGGGTCCGGACCCACTCCTTCCAGAGCCCTATATATGTATACCATTTCAAGCCCATGGCCATCGAATCTTTCTCCTGCTTTATGAAACTTATCGTTCACTGATTCAGTCTACCTGCTCCCTTGTCTCTCAGGCCGACGACAGAATAATTCTCCTGTCAACAATTTGACTCCACTTTAGCTATGGGCAGCACACAAATCGCACAGTCATTGCTGCAGTCGGCGCGCGTCGCCCCGGAAATCTTCCAGCTGCGCCCAGATTATCGCGCACTCTTGATGGTGGTAGAGGGCATTCCTCCGGGGCCTAGCGACGAGTCTAGTGAGGGGTTTCTGCAGCAGGCAGAAGCGACAGTCAAAGAATTGTTGTCAACATCGCCCGTGACGGAACTTCCACATATCGCCGCGTGGCGCGAGGCGTATAAGGCCTTTGGAGCCAAGCCCCAGAAAACACGCAACAGTCTAGAGGCCTTGACACGGCGTGCAGCGACTGGCTTACCACGGGTCAACCGGTTAACCGACATATACAATGCAATCTCGGTTAAGCATCAGATCCCCTTCGGCGGCGAAGACCTTGACAAGTACGACGGGGCGCCGTTTCTGGTGCGCGCCACCGGTCAGGAGCCGTTTCAGACTTTCTCTGGGGGTGAGCCCCAGACCGAGCTGGCTGCACCCGGAGAGCCGATTTGGTGTGATAATACTGGCATTACGTGCCGCCGCTGGAATTGGCGACAGGGTCCGCGCACGGCGCTGACGGACGACACCACGCGTGTACTATTCATTCTGGACGCATTACAGCCGCTTTCAGACGATACTCTCCAGCAGGCTGCGGACGAACTGGCCTCGGCCTTGAAAAGCCTGTCTCCCGAAGTACAGACATCGCAACGTATTATCGACGCTTCTTCTGCCTGAACTCGCTCAAGTAACTATGACATGGTTCATTGAAATGCACGCGGATGATACGAGTTTACAATAACTTAAGCACACGACACCTAGTGTCTGTTATAGATACTATGCTGAGTTTCTCAAGGGAACACTCGTTGTAGTCGTGCCAAGGAGGAGTCCAGGATGGCGAGAGTCATTCTAGCATGCTACGCTGCGTGGGTTCAAGAAAATTCCGCTGGGGGGGGATATGCAGGTTATATAGGCGTCTAGCCTATGCACCTGTCATCACGTTGGCATATTATGTTTTTGGCATGTTTTTATATATGCATTTCTGTACATACCAAAGATTTTATATTTCGCAGATAGATGGCTACTGAAGATTATCCATATAGATTTCAGCTTTCGCTAAAAAGAAAGCATACGTTGCAAACTCCTTTACTGGGTGTGGAGAGTGGATTGTCGTGCTTAATTGTGTAGATATGGACCATTCCTTGTGCTCGTCAAAAAAGATCCATCCTGTATCAGGCATTGTGAGGACGGCTTTTACTGCATCAACCTCTTATGATAAACGCTCGGTGGGTTATTTATGAAGCAATGAGATATCTTTGTACCACCGCGAAAACAGGGATTTGAAAATTCCTATGTACATGCTCTTGTGAAATCACAACTGATATTTCTGCCTAACCGTATCATTACGGATTAGGCGTTGTGGTGGTTACCAGTAGCATTCGCATTAACAATAGCCATGAGATCTTGGTAGCTCCTGTAGTCGTCTCCTTGCAGGAATGCTGCTCGGTTGGCGTCCCAATCGTGAGAAGCATACCCGTATTTGTCAGACACGTGGCAGTAGCAGCAGGGAAACACTCTGGCGTCGGGTTCTATCTCCAGCATTCTTTGCACATGTGCGACAAGTGTTGGATCTGCCATGTCGTCATCCAGATCGAGTAGATCCCCTTCATCATAGTCCCAATGCAAGGAGAAGGATGTGAGACGGGTTGGAGATTTCTGAGCCAAAGCACTAAACAGTTCGCTCCAAGACATACCTTCACCACCTTCCCATTCCCTGCAACTGTAGCATTCTTGCAAAAAAATCGATTCTAACGTGTCAAGATGCCGGAGGAGGAAGTCTTTCAACTCGAGGCACAGGTAGATATTGCCGAGAGTGAGTTTTCGCAGCCGGGGCATCGTAGCGTTCCACAGGGATATATCATACGCATAGGGTTGTCCTGAATTGCCTAGCGGTGCGGAGTCTTGGGGATCGAAGCTAAATTCCTCGACAGAGGTGAGGTGGTTGAAGAACCACGGACCCAGAGAGTTTGGGAAGTTAAAGAAAACCTCTTGGGTATTTAGCATCCAACCGACCCCGTTGTCCCATTGCTTTAGGGACATGCGGAACCTTTCTAAATGTGAAAGAAACTCATGGAATTCTCTGGTGGAAAAGACTGATATTGGCACGATATTGAGTGCATGAATGGTGAGTGAGACAAGGACTTGGCCGCCCGGGCAGCGCTGAGGACTGTAGCTAGACAGGATGGCTCGGAAACTTGCCGCCATCAGCCCCCGCCAGGCATTCTTTCCTTCTTCAATCACCGCTGCTTGCGGATCTTCATGGAAGTCTGAGTCCTGAACATGCTCCATTAGCTCGTCGTAGTCAAAGGGAAATTCGATGCTCAGCGTTTGAAGACCCTTCAACGCGGCGAGGTTGGAAAGAACCGTGTCGACCTCTGGCGGATAGACATCTTCGACTGGTGAGTTCTGCTGATCTGCGGAGTGGCCAGTGAGCTCTTGTCACAATGTTGCACGCTTTCAGGCTGTCAACAGTTGGGTTTTCCACGCACCTAGCCGACAATTAGCGACGTATCGCAGCTCCTTGATGCACCCAGAGAAGTGGCCATTGGCGATCGCCTTTATAGACAAGGCGCTCTTCGCCGTGTTGTGTAAATACACGACTGCAAATATGCGCGGGGCCAGTAGACCCCGAAGCAATTTACAAGTGCTACTGAGGCTGATAAGATCACGAAGGTATAGGGGAGATTTGGTGAGACTCTTGCACTCGTCCTGGTCCTCTTCCTTCACGTCACAGAGGATGTCAATGATCATATACCACACATCCACCACCCCCACCGGTGATCGAATGGGCTGTAGCTTCTGTATTCTGGGTGAAGGTGCCATAGTGCGTTGTTCTGAGAAAGCTAAGAAGGACCCAGCTGATGTTGACGCTAATATTGAAGATGATATTGATTTCTTCTCCGAAAGCGGGCGGGAGGTGGTCAAGGCGGCAAGGCAGCAACGAGGGTGGAGCCTGGGCCCAAGAAAATCCGCAAGCACTTTCAAGTATGTACTATATTGCTGGGCTGTTATTCATTCTATTTACAACACGAGAATAGACCAGACCAACTTTGACTGCCTGACCTCTATTGATGATTAATTATTACTAGAACACGAGAATCACTAAACTCGCGCGACCTGGGCCGAACATAGTCAGAGACCGCACCTCGAGAAAACAACACATAATGTACATTGACGCCCCCGAATGCACAGTGGAAGGGGAAAAGAGTAAGAGGTATGACGATGGTGGCCTTAATGTTTCTTCAGGCTAATCTTCCGTACCCGAAAGAGATAGTAGAGTGTGATCGCCCCGACGACGTTGAACACAAAGTACGCCCAGAAAATGCCGTAGTTTCTCCAGCGATCCTCCCAGTAGATCCACCGCTGGGCCAGGTACTGGTCCGCAGAATCCATGGCACAGTACTCGCACCCGGACGTTGCGTTCTTGTTATACAACTGGCCGCCGGCTGAATCGAGATATTGGCTCATATAGTCGCCACAGGTTTGGCCGTCGGGGGGATCAAAGACACTGAGTTCTGTCGCGCTACATTGAACAGGGCGGTCATGCAGAGCCGTGCTTCCAATGCCTCCAATGTAATATGTGAATGGGGACACGCGGTACATGAAGATCCAAAACCCTGGGAGGGCAGGGGGTGGCTGCATGACACCACTGAAAACGAACGAAAGACCAAACATCAGTGTCGCAATCATGGAGGCCAGTGCGGGTTCCCCGACCGCGCATACAGCGAATTGGGCCATGCTCGCACTATAGATGAAGAACTGCACAATAAAGAGCATGATCAAAGCACGGCGCTCGGAGTCTTGGTTCGCACCAAAGACAGACCAGTAAAATGAGGCCCAGGAGCAAACGCCAAGTAGAAACTGGAAAGGCACTTCGACAATCATTTGAGACAGAATGAAGACCTTCCAGGAGTAGACTCGGGACGGCCGCTCGCGCACTTCATAGAGGGCACGCTGGGCAACGAACTTAGGCATTATCTGGTTCACCAAAGTGTTGAAGATCGTACATAGCAGGAAAATACTGAAAAGGGAATTCTGGAAACCCTGCTGCGAATTGTCAGTCTTCCAGAAGGAGAATCCGATGAAAAGACCAGAGATAATGCCCAAAATGAACTTTGAGAAAATATACTCCGGTTGCCGCAAGTACTGCTGAAACACACGGTAAAGAACATGATAGAGCTGACTGCTTAATGGCATAGCGAATTCCTCGTTGTTCCCTGCATCTTCGGTAGATGGTGCAGAATCACTTTCTTTAGTGGTATGCAATCGAGCGAGCTCCGCAAGTACGTCTTGATGCTCGGGGCTCTCGTTCCACATTTGGACCCAATCTGGTGCGTTCTTGTCCACATCACCGGAAACTGTTTCGAGGATATACTCCGCCGGATTTTCATGTTCCTTGCAGAGTCGACCGCCGTTTCGCTCGAAGTAGTTCAATAAAATGCGGGAATCCTTGCCAATCTCACCGAAATAAACTGTCTTTCCTCCTTTCGCTAGGAATAGTAAGCGGTCAAAGGTTTGGAACAACATTGCACTGGGCTGGTGGATCGTTGCCAACACTGCCTGGCCTTGGCTGGACAGTTTCTTGAGGAGCGCGCAGATGGTCCATGAGCTCTGAGAGTCTAAACCACTGGTGGGCTCGTCGAGGAAGACCAAAAGGGTCGGCTTCGCAGCGAGCTCCACGCCGATACTCAACAGCTTTCGCTGCTCTACATTCAACCCTTCACCCAGTCTACCGACCACTGCCTCAGCATAATCTTCCATTCCCAAGATTCGAATCACCTGCTCGGCATAGTCATACTTTTCCTGTTGAGAGACCGATCGAGGTTGGCGAAGCATGGCACTAAAGCGGAGAGCCTCCCGCACCGTAGTGGTCTCCAGATGGAGATCCTGTTGTTGGACATAGCCAGTTCGACGGGGGAAATTCGCGGCTAAACCCTTTCCATTGACGAAAATATCTCCCGTCACAACGCCCATTGACACTCGCTGGGCAAGAACATCGAGCAGGGTAGTCTTTCCGGCGCCAGAAACGCCCATCAAAGCTGTGAGTGTCCCAGGCTTGACCCATCCATTCACGTTATCTAGGAGGCGCCGGGTGCCGTCCTTGACGGGAATGTCATAGCAGACGGATTTCCAGGACAGGATGTCTCTCTGCTCGGGAAGGCAGATAGAACCTGTGTCCGCCCTGATCTCCACTGTGGGGTCTGTCTTCTCCGCCTCAATACCGTCACCGTCTTGCAGGTAACTGGGAGCATGGCCAGGCCGAAACACCAATGCTTCTGCTGCGGATTTATCTGCCGAAATAAATTCTGTTGCAGTGAGGTAAAGGACGTGGAAGAAGATCAGGAACGCGATGAGGATGCCGAAGTTTCGCCACAGGTGCGAGTAGGAATATCGGTAGTTCTGCTCAATGAAAGCGTCGCCGGAGACAAACCGTTCGCCCGCAACTGCACCGACGACCGAGCAAATAAAGGATGTCCCTGTGCCATAAGATGGAATGTAAGAAGCACATTCGAAATCCCGGCCATGGAATTCATTGGAAACGAGAGCTTCAAATGCATAGTAAACTGGGTTGATCCAGCGAATCCAGGCGAACCACGGATGCATATAGGGCTGTGGCAACGTGAATCCCGTGTAGACGACAATACATAGAACTAAGATACCAGCAAGCGCCATGGCCTGTCCCACAGTCTGGGTCAAAGACGCCAAACTGCGGAACATTCCAGACATGGTGAGAATGGTGCATATCAGAAGTAGATAAAAGATGAAGAACTGAGACGGCTCCCGGCGTAGGTTGGCTAAGAAGTAGAGGATAATACTGAACACCGAGCAGCGAAGAATTTTGATTGGCAGATCCACCAGGACACCCGCTAAGGCTTCAGTGAATGGATGCACAAAAGCATAAGCCGCTTGCTTTTCCACGATGGGCCGCTGGGCGTACAGTTGCATAATCTCTGCAATCGTGATCAGCGCGTTCATCAGCACCGCGAAATAGAGGACAGCGCCTTTCTGAAAGAACGCATTGCTAGAGTCAGGGGAATTGTAGAAGACAGATCCAATGATCAAGGCTAAGATGGTCTGGACAACAACTGTCGACATCGCCGTTGGCAGATCGTTGCGTAGACGCTGATAGGCCCGCCGAATACAAAGGCGGATTTGCATCGGAACCGACAGGAGATATGGACTGTTCCCTCGCGTATGGCGGGCTTGCTTTTCTTCGTGGGCCTGCCGCAGGATTTGAGCGGCTTCACCATTGGGAGCGTGTTCCTGCACATATTGGGCAATTTCCGTGCGAAGCTTCTGATATTCCGGGCTGCGCTTCCAATACTCCGAGAATTCCTTCGCGCTCCGAGGCACTCTATCCTCCATGCCCGGCCGGGCCCTTCGTTCCACGGGGTTGGTGATTGCGGTTAAGAAGTCCGGGCTCACCTGCTTCTCCGGTCGTTCCCAACCCATGCGCTGGAAATAGTCCACCGCTGCGTCACACGGCCCAAAGTAGATCTCATACCCCTCGTACAGGACTACGACCTTTTCGAAGAGGTCGTACATTGACTGGGAAGCCTGGTAGGCAGCCACCGCATGGCAGGCGTTACTCATGTCGGCGGACAGGCGCAAAGCTCTCACAAATTTCAGGGCTGATGCGGCATCCAGACCTCTAGTGCTGTTGTCCCATGCGCCTATCCGACAGTTCGACAGAAACATCTCAGCAATACTGACCCGTTTGCGTTCACCCCCACTGACTCCCCGGATGAAGTTATCTCCAACCTTGGTGTGGACCGTGTGCGAGAGGCCGTAAACCGACATCACCACCTTGGTCATGGTATCCGCGAACTCCACGCGAGTCACACCCTCGATCCGTCGTCGAGGCGTACGGGCATGTGCCGCAAACGAGAGAGTTTGGCCCACGGTGAGGTGCGGGAAATGCTCGTCCACCTCCTTGTTGTAGGCGACTTCTCCCCGATGGTGCTTAATCATCTCCTCATACCCCACGCCGTTGTAGTGGATCGTGCTTTCCGGTTCCAGGGTCAGTCCGCCCATTCGCCCAGAGATCGTCTTCAGGAGAGTCGAGCATCCGCTCCCTGGTCGACCCAGCACGAGTAAGAGCTCTCCACCCTCGAGGAGACCATCAAAGCCACGCAAGATCTGGCGGCGAGGGATCCGCTTTTGTCCTGTGATCGCCCTGGAGGCCGTGCGGAAGGGGATGGTGAAGGTGGAGAGAATCGTCTCCTGGTACTGGAGTGCCGATCCAGACCCCGAGACTTGAAGGTCCTTGAAGACGACGCCTTGCTGTGGTGGTTCAATGCCGCACTGGTGCATTCGCCTCAGAACGAACTGAGCCCAACGACGGTGATCGAATGCAGGGCTATCGGGATCGAGCTTGGGGTCCTGTTTCGCATCCGTGGCGGAGAGCACTTGACCTAGTCGGCTGGACGCTATGCGAGACAATGACTGTCGCTCCTGATCCTCGTCTGAGGACAGCGATGAGGATGTATCGGATAGGGTATCATCCTCGTGGTCGCGATGGGTGTCGATCTGCGTCACCGGGTCGACCTCCGGAGCCACCTCGGGCTTGGACGACATCCTAGACCACCAGTCAGTCAGGTAACGTGTTATGGGAGGTGTGGGTGGTAGATTCGAGCACCCACTTTGGACGCAGAATAGGGGACGACACCTCGAGCAGGGGTACTGATATTGATGGCTACTATCCTCCTACTATACAATGTAGTATGAGTGCGCAAGGGTGTGAGGCGTACTTTCAGGAGGGGATTTATGGTCGTAGGCCATCCAGAGTGAGAAACACTCGACCTGATTGCGAGACTGGGAGG